GGGGGGGGTGCAGGTCAGAGCTCACCATGAGTGACAGCCTCTCACCTTGTTCAAACCTACACTGGGTTTGTCCACAGGCCAGCCCCAGAGGCTACACTTTCAAAGTGTGCCCCCACAGGGACCTCCTCATATCCTCCGCTGCCTAAGAGTCCCGCCTCCAACAGGCCTCTGCTCCAGGGTGCCCACCAAGGTCCCGTCTGCATCCAGGGTCCTGGGCCTGTTCCTCTGCAGCTCTCAGGCCTGCTCCTCACATCACCTCCCTGCGCCCCCATCCCCACCTGCTACCCTAGGCATCTGTCCTGGCTGCTCAGACTCACTGGGTCCTGCCCCAGGGCCTTTGCACAACCTTATTCCCACTTCCCCACACTGAGCGAAGCCAAGTCTTCTGTGACCCACATGAGGAGGTCAGCTGTGGGCTGTAGCTAGATTTGGGGAGCCAGCTCCCCTAGAAGCAGGGCACTCACTCTCCCGCAAGAGCTGCACAACTTTCTCCTTTGCCCTTCTTCTTCCTCGAAAACTTGTAACCCAGAGGGGCTGGGGGAGAGATTGATGGGCGCGGGGAGCCCGCTCACCGGTCTGTGTGCAGAACCTGTATCGGCTTGAACTAACTAAGTTTATCAACCAGGCACAGGGCCATTAATCAAGCAGAAAAATAACACCGCGAAATGACTTTTCCAGAATGTCGTTGGTGTAATGATCATCTTGCCCATTACACTAAATGCCGCCATTTATATCCGTGATAGTTAAGTATGCAAACAGTAATTAACTTGGTAATGAACTGAGGACCCCAGTGCCTCCCCTCCCTGAGCTGATTTGCATGTTAATTATCATTAGCGACCAGGGAAACAAGTTATAAACAGCCTAATTAGCAGCTGGATCATTTGTACAAGAAGTCGAGTGCACTTTGACACGGGGGTGGCAGGCAGATGGATGAATCGTCCGAGCTGCGCCCCTTGCCTGGAGGTGGGGGCGGGGGCTGCGCTGGGGCGGCAGTTGAGGTGGCAGAAGGAGGCTTGTTGCAGGCCCTGGGGATGCCCGTCAGAGGGCAAGTTTGGACAGTGACATGCTGCAGGTGGACGGAGCCCTCGGTCCCTCTGGCCTCCTGAGGCCCAAGTCAGTTTTGTCCAGGGTGTGTGTATGGGTTGGGTTGGGGTGGGCATCCTTACTCTGAGGGGGTGGTCTTGGGAAGACTGGGCAGCAGCGTGCCCTGAAACCAAAATTCTCTGATCACTCAGGGGTGTCCTTTCCAGGGAGGATCTTGGCCAAACACCAGGTCTTGGCAACTGCAAGAGGACAAACGTGTGTGACCCCATTCATATGAAGCAGGCCGAGGCGCAGAGACCAGAGCTCTGAGTGGGGAGCTTCAGGTTTTGGGGGGCACTCGGTCTCTGCGACGGATGGGGCAAGAATCTGGGATGGCTGGTGGAGGTGGCTGCAACACAGGATGAGTGAAAAGATTGTGATGGCCAACACTTTGTCACAGCTACACACTGATCACAGCAACCAATGTAAGGAAAAGAAGGCTGTGTGAGTCCGGGTAGACTAGAGAAACAAGTCCATAGATACTCATAAGTGTATAAGAACAGAAATTGAATATTGAGAAAACGTCCAAGCCCAGTCCAGATCAAGTCCGTAAGTCCAATATTAGCTCATATGTCTGGTACCAATCCATAAAGTCCTCTTCAGACTCACAAAATACATGCAATGATGCTGAATGCAGGAGGATCACAGGCAGTGGGTTGGAAGTCTTGTGGATCCAGTGGTGTTGTAAGCATCTCAGCACTGGCAGGGGTCTCTAGGTGGCTTCTCCGGCTCCAGAGGTCTGATTGCATCGGGGTAGGTCCGTGTGGCTTCTCCAGCTCCCAGGGTGAAGCATCATGTGACTTGTCAGCACAGTGTCTCTCAGGGAGTGAGTAGAGAGAGAGGTGT